TTGAGCTGCCCAACTGTTGATGGGCATCGTGGGAGCTGAGCCCTTGCTGGCATAGTGCAAGGCTGACCCAGCGCCCAGCAGAAACACACACACACACACACACACACACACACACACACACACACACACATCTTTGTCCTCTTCTTCCCAAAAATGTAAACACAGCTCCTTGCTCTGAGTGGTTACTCCAGGCCTCTCTGTGGTTGAATTAAGGTGAGGAGATATTTAAGTGCAAACAAGGCAATGGAATAGGGGATGAAGGGTGCAGGGGAGGGAAAGTGCGGGGAGTTGTCCCTTCTTAAGCTATGAGCTGACAGAGAAGCATGGTCTTGAATGTTCTGGGTGCCCCCAGCATCGTGTCCTGAGTTCTGGACAAATCCTGGCAAGCCAGGATTCACTGGGCAGAGAATCACTGCTCAAACCCAAAGACTGGAATTTTCCTACTCCAAAATAGAGAAGGAAAAGACATTAATATTTGCCCTTTTGACTTGTGAAGGGTAGCATGAAGGAAATGTGTATGATTTGTCTCAAGGTGGTTTCCCCCTGTGCTTTTCAGTTTTTTGTTTATCTGATGTAAGGAACTAATCTTTATTAAAAAGTCCATTTTCAGGGCCGGAAATAGTACAGGGGGTAGGGCACAGCCAATCCAGATTCAAGTCACATCAGGAGTGATCCCTAAGCACCGCCGGTATGACCCCCCCCCCCCCCAAAAAAAAGAAGAAAAGTTTAGGAGGCTGGGGTGTTATATAACAAGGATGTCTTATTTGGTTTTGCCTGGGATATTGTGAAGCTCAACTGTGAGGAGAATACGCCCCTCCGGTCAGTCTTTGGTGGCTCTCCCTTGGCCGGACACTTTCCCAGAAAACAGGCTTGTACAGCTCCTCTGTCTGCCTACTGCATTTTTCAAGCATAGAACATTCTGGTGACTTGAGTGAGAATCACAGCCCATCACTTTGATACTTAATACACCCTCTGCGGTCTACAGTCGAGTTTCCCAAAGTGTCCTGGGATGATGGGGGAGCAGGAAGAGCCTCTGTACAGCCGGGGCACTTTCTGTTTGTTCACTTGAAGAAGGTCAGTTTTCAGGGGTGGTGTGGGGTGCTGAGTGATGCTCTTTCCTAGGAAGCAGGCCAAATGACTCTGGAACCTCTCATCTAGACTCTGACCTCAGTCCTAAAAGTAATCAGACAAGGAACCAGAGAGATACTACAGGGGTTAAGGCACTTGCCTTGCATGTGGCTGATACAAGTTCAATCCCCAGCACCGCATATGGTTCCCTGAGTATTGCTGAGGGTGCCCTTTAAGCACAGAGCCAGGAATAGCCCGAGTACCACTAGATATGGCCCCCCAAAACAAAATAGTAATAATCAAGATCTCTAGGAGATGGGCCTAGGATCACCAAGCCTGTGTCTTTTTTCAAGGTGAGAGAGATGGGGGGTGGTTGGGAAGGATCACATCTAGCAGTGCTTAGGCCTTACTTCTGACTCTGTGCTCAGGGATTACTTCTGGTGGTCACTGTCACTGTCCTCCTGTTGTTCGTCGATTCGCTCGAGTGGGCCCAGTAACGTCTCCATTGTGAGACTTGTTACTGTGTTTGGCATATCGAATACATCACGGGTAGCTTGCCAGACTTTGCCGTGCGGGCGAGATACTCTCGGTAGCTTGTCGGGCTCTCCAAGAGGGGCAGAGGAATCGAACTTGGGTCAGCCATGTCAGCTGCATGCAAGGCAAACGCACTACCCGCTGTGCTATCGTTCCAGCCCACTCCTGGTGGTACACAGGAAAATCATATAGTATGCCTGTGATTGAACCCAGACCAGCTGGGGGCAAAGCAAGACCCACACCCACTGTACTATGTCTCTTTCCCAGCCCAGGCATGTTTCTCCATTCATTCACCTAATGAATAAGTGACCACTTTATACCATATCCTGATCTAAAGAAAGGGCCCAGGTAAGGTGCGAGAGAGCTTAGCAAGCCTTTCCTAAAGGCCAATTACCTAAAATGAGCACCCTTCTTTTTTCAAACAGGTCTAACAAGATTCAGTGTTATTTGCTTTTCCAGGCCCCAGCCAATTAGCGTAATAAATAGGGGATCTGTTGGAGGGATTGGTGACTGCAGAATCAAAGTGACACTAGCCAGGACTAGAGGAAGCCAGCTGTACCAAGGAGACACGTGATTACAATTAGAGTAATTGAACAGGGCATGTCAGGTGGGACCCTGAGCCCGCAGCTCTGTGTGCCCTGAGGGTGTTATTACCCAGCATACTCAGGAACTGATATGCCTGGTAACGACTCTTTATCATCCCAAAGAAATAGGTGCCTTTTGTACTTAGGGCTAAAGAGCAGTTCTCTCTCTTCCCGTTGGCTTTGGTTTTACTTTTGTTTTTTAAGATTTCCATCTCAACCATCCCAATGGCTGACACACGGGGCCAAGTGATGATAAGTAGGTAGGGTGCTTGCTTGCCAACCTAGGGTCAGTCCCTAGCACCCTATATGGTCCCCTGAGTCCTGTCAGGAATGATCGCTGCAAGGCATTTGCCTTGCATGCAGCCCGACCCAGGTTCGATTCCCAGCATCCGTATGGTCCCCCGAGCAATGTTTTTAGTTAAAAGCTTTATGAGGGTGGTGGAGGGGTGGGCAAGGACGTAAGGGCCGGGCATGTGAAGACTCCAAGTTCAGCTCAGCATTGCATGGTCCTCAGCCAGGTGTAGCCCAGGAACTCTGAAACTCTGAGCCTTAATACTAACTGCATCCTGGGCTGAGTATCACCGAGAGTGACCCCTGCTGCCCCTGAGTCCTGCCTGGGAGTCCCCCTCACCCACCCCTAGGCTTCCCCAGCTCACAAAGCTTTATTGGAATGGAGCTTAAATAGTTCCCCTGGGACCATCGGGGTGTGTGTTTGTATAGCTCCCTGCAGCAGCAAGTAAGCCTGGGAACTTACATCTGGAGATTGTCTGGACATTGAGCGCTCATCAGGGCTTCGAAACCTTGTGGGGTTTCAGCTTTTCCTTTGACTTGGGTTCAACAGAGTTTAGAATTTCAGAATATGCAGGGTACAATCCAGCCCTGGACCCTCCCCTGATCTGCTGCCATCCTGTTTGGGGCTTCGAAGGTGTCGCAGCAGCTTTTAATATCTCTCAGTTGTCACTGGTTTCCCCAGATGCCACCGAAATCAGGAGCACACACAGCTGGTTTATTAGAATTTCAGTGGGCACTGGCACGATAGTACAGCGGGTAGGGCATTTGCCTTGCACATGGCCGACCTGTGTTCAATTCCCAGCATCCCATATGGTTGCCCGAGTACCACCAGGAGTAATTCCTGAGTGCATGAGTCAGGAGTAACCCCTGGGCATCGCTGGGTGTGATCCAAAAAGGAAAAAAAAATATAAAGGAAAGAAAGAAAGAAAGAAAGAAAGAAAGAAAGAAAGAAAGAAAGAAAGGAAAAAGAAAAAGAAATTCAGGTGGGCAGGAGTGGAGTCACCATTGGGAGCCACTATTTGCTGTTCGCAGGACAGTCACGCACAGGGTTTGTTGCCTGCATGTAAGGGTGTCTTGGCATATTGGTGGAGTCAGCGTCTCTTTAGACATGGATTCAAGATACATTTCCCCACCTTCCAGCCACCAACTCTCTGTCACCGTGGGAGAGGGGCCTAGGGGGCGGGGGACAACTCTGTTCCTTCATCCTGAGTCTGTACCGTTTTAGACTCCAGACCATCTATCACTTCAGGTCAGCATCACCGCCCTGTGCTGTCTGCTCCCCACATACCCCTTCCCTTTCCTGACTGTGCTGTGTTCCATCCAGAGGCTCTTGTTGAGGGCAGTGGAGGCAGAAGATAAATGGGGTCAGCAGGGTAAGAGTGACCTGGCCCTGGGCCTCGCCACCCGGGTCAGCGACACTGCTCTTGGGTGGCCTCCCCTGCTGTGGAGTCCCCTGAGTTCTCCAGAGACTTGAACGCCACGTGCTCATGGCTGGCTCTGCTGCGTTAGCTCACAGTGACCTTAGGCTATGGCAGGTGCAAATCCAAAAAGCCACGCTTTAGAATTAAAGAACCTGGGTGAGGGCGGTGTGTGTGTGTGGGGGGGGGGGGGGGGCACTTGTCTTGCAGTCATGAGATCTGGGTTGGAGCCCTGGCACACCCAGGAAAACAGTGGAAGTGGGGACTCAGTCCTTCCCGAGTCCTGCAGCACGTACACGGGGACTGATGGACTTCAGTTATTGATTCCTGCTCTGCTCCCTTGGGTGCTGTCCCCAGGGACCCCAGCTGCAGCTGTAGTGAAGAACAGGTTGCAATGCCTAACACATCGTCCTCGGGGAATGAGTGTCTTGCCTAGTGAGAATATATGCACACAGTTTATGAGTTGTTCAAGATGTCCCTGAGAGCAGCATCCTCAACGTGTCCCTCCAGCTTCCCTCACCCTCGCCTCCGGGCCTGGACTGGGGATGCGCTCATAGGTGAAGCACCAAAGGTCCCCAGAGCCTCTCGGCTCAGAGGTGATGATGTGCCTCCCTTTTAGTCTGTTAACCCAGACAACTTCAGCACCAGTCTCAGGGTCGGCCCGTGTGTTAGAGGCAGTGGTGTGAAAGCTGGAAAGGTTCCCACCCCCCCCCCCCCACACACCCCAACCTATCCATGAACAGGTGCCTAAGGAACCAGGTGTCCTGGTTTCTGTGTCTGCCTCTCGTTGGTTGCTCTGCGCTGCTGCTGCTTCTGCTCCTGCTCTCACTGACCTTGAGCCAGGCCTTGCCCTGTGAAGGCTTCCTTTTCCTTTCATCATCGGTCCTGTGAAGGCTTTGGGCAAGATGACCCTGTCTCCTAGAAGGTCAGTTAACTCTCCAGAGGAAAGAAGCCACGTTGGTTTAATGGAGAGATGTTTAGACAGCCTCTTGCAAGAGTCCCACATTGCCATGCCTCGCTCACGCGGGAAGTGTAATTCTGTCTTGTCTCCTGGAGGACAAGGCAGTACCAAATGTGTGGGTTCCTTCTTCTCTCTCTCTTCCAGATGCCAGGATGGACAGAGTAGCTTATGATGCTTATCCCCGCCCACCACTTTCGAGACATTGAGCGGAAGCCGGAATACCTCCAGCCGGAGAAGTGCGTCCCGCCTCCCCCGCCCAGCCCCGTGGGAACCATGTGGTTCATCCGCGACGGCTGTGGCATCGCCTGTGCCATTGTCACCTGGTTTCTGGTCCTCTACGCGGAGTTTGTGGTCCTCTTTGTCATGCTGATTCCATCCCGAGACTACGCCTACAGCATCATCAACGGGATTGTGTTCAACCTGCTGGCCTTCCTGGCTCTGGCCTCTCACTGCCGAGCCATGCTGACGGACCCCGTGAGTATGTCTGGGCTGGCTTTCACCTGCCCACACTCCTCCTCTGGCCCTGGCTCGACTGCAGCCTGCATGGGGGGCCTGGACCTTGAGGGGTAGAGCTGAAGGGCAAGTGGCTTCAGGACCCACTCCGGGGACCCCATTGGAGCCACAGCCCATCGGTTTGGAGGGAATAATACTGTGTCCATTGGCATTTATTGGCCCTGCTGTGGGTGGGCTCTGGGGTCGGGGAGACCTGGCCTCTTGTTGGAAAGGCTCAGAGAGGAGCCCGTTGCTTAATCGTCTCTGTACGTGGACCGAGTGTGTTCGACTGAGGCTCTGGGAGGAGCCTGCCCAGCCATGGAGCCGGGGGCTGGAAGATCCGCACAGAGAGCATGCTGGGGCCAGGCCGGGGTGGCATGGGAGGGTGTCAAGATGGGGTGCCCGGGTGAGGCCAGGACTAGCGCTAGGTGGATCTGAAATTAAAGCCATATCCAATTCCAGGAACCTGCACGGAATGGCCTTCGCTTTGTTTGGGCTCACGTTTTCCTGAAAAGCTGGACAAGCCTGTTTCAGGCCGCGGCAGGCCCCTCTCGGTGACTCTGGGTAAAAGCGGTGGCATCCCGCCTGGTGACTTAGCGAAATCCACCAAGCTGTGCAAGTGACTATTGAATGTCGTGTACCCCGGCATTAAATCCTCCGTGCCTGTTCATTATCTCGTATGGGGCCAAGGGAGAGCGTGCCTGTTCATTATCTCGTATGGGGCCAAGGGAGAGCGTGTGTTATTTGATGAAGATTCCCCCCCACCCCGCCCTGCTTAATTGTCTCCGTATGTGGGCAGCCGAGTGTATTTAAGTGAAGAGGCAAAACAGTGCTGCTGGCATCCTAGCCTCAGGGCTCACTTTTGAGAGCCACAGGGAAGGCGTCTCCAAGGGCCTTTCTCCTCCCTTCTCTCAGGGCCAGCAGCTTCCTGTATGTGCAGATGGTGGATGGTTCATCCATCCCGGGGGATGCAGTTTCCGCAGCGCTTCTTAACGCAGCTCTGAGCCCACGCCTGTCCAGACAGCACCCCTCCCCCTGCAGGAACCCAGGCAGAGCGCACCCCCTTGGACAGAGGCCACTCAGTCCTGCCTTTGAGCTCCTGTGGGACCCTGAGTCACGTCACTCGAAGGAAAGGCGGGAGATGGGTAGAACCCCAGCACCCTAAGGCACAGGGGATAGGAGAGCTTCCCTGCTGCTAGGTGCATGGCAGACAAGGGCCTGCTCAGTTGTCTTCACTCCATCCTTGCTGTGATGGATGCAAGAGTAACATGTTCCTTTGCTCTGCTCAGTTCCAGGCACCTGCTTGGAGCAGACGGAGCCATTGAGGGAGACTGGCCCTTGTGATAGAGGCTAATGGCCAAGGCAGCCCAGGGAGGGTGGCTGCGTGAAGGAGGCGAGGCCCAAGCCGGCTGTCAGTGCAGCCTATGTGGGCTGGTGAGGTGGAGGGGCTCAGACCACTGAGGTCCCAGCAGAGAGAGTGGTGTGCACCAAGCCCTCCAGCTGCTTGCTTGGCATATTGGAGGAACAGGGGGAAGGCCAGGGGAACTGAGCCGGGAGGAGACGGCTACAAAGCTGGGACAGGCAGAGCCTAGTGGGAACTTCGGTCTTTATTCTCAATGTGATGTCGTGGGCCTCACAAGGGGCTCATGTGAAGCAGGGAGGAGAAAGATGATCACTTTCTCCCCATCCGCCTCTGCTGTCTGGGACCAAGGGTTACTGGGTTCTTGTCTTACCTCGCAGAAAGAAATTTCAGGAGTAGACAGGCAGTGAAGTAAATAGATTTTTCTTTGGAGGGTTTTTGAAGGTCTGGGGGGGAGGAGAGAGAGAGAGAGAGAGAGAAACACGCTCAAGAGAACCTGCGGCTTCTCCAAGGGTGGAGAGAGCCCCTACACACATCCCAGCATTAGACACGAAAGCATGAAAGTACACATCTCAAGAGAGGAGGAGATGCGAGCGACACATGTGCTCTGTCACGTGGGTGCAAGCAACACATGGGCTCAGGCAGCATATGTGCGCCCCTCCTTTGTTCAAGGTGGCTTTCATAGAGTATCTTCTCAGGATGTCTTGGTCTAGAATGTTCTGGAGTCTTCTCTGGGCTGAATCACTAAAGTTAATCGGATTAAGGGAGAGGACCTAGGGTTTGAGGAACTTCATGGGAAGGGGTCCAGTCCTCAGAGTCTGCTGCTGAAGGTCTTATCAGGTCTCTATTTTCCGTGTCCACAAGGTGAATCAGCCTTAGAATTTTCCTCCCAGAAGTTTTGTTGACCTAAGTTTCATTGCCAGGGCCTTTCCCTGTCTATCTGCCTACATCAAGTGCAGTGAGAAGCCGTTGGAGAGGCCTGATTTTCAGAAGGGCAGAGTGCTTCATGCTTGCTGTGACTCGAGGGGGGCGGGGCAAGGGGGGGCGGGGGGGGGGGGAGTGAGCAAGCCAAACCAGAGATGAGAGCTGTCACAGCTGCTGTCAGGCAGGGACCCGGCTGTGCTGGGAACCTATTTTCAGTGTATGTTTTGCATCTTTGTTTTGGGTTTTGCTCCCCCGCCCTTCCCTGGTTCTTTGGGCCACACCCACAGTGCTCAGGTTTACTACAACGCGGGTGCTCAGGAGTCAGTCCCAGCATTGCTCAGGAGGCTATGGGGAGCCAGGGGCTGAACATAGGCCTGCCACATGCAGAGCAAACTGCCCTTACCCACTGAGCTGTCTCTCCAGCCCTGGAATATATTTTAAGCTGCTAATCCTCCAGGAAGGCTGGGCCATAGAATCCTCTGGGAACTCCAGAAAGCGGTGACCCAGGCTCATGCCCAGAAACTTCTCAGAATTGGTCTGGAAGGGGCCCTGGGGATAGAGAGGCTTGAGAGTTTCCAGGCAAACCCCTGGTCCCACCAGGTGTGAGGATGATGGCAGAGCTGACCAATCAGAGCGTGACCCTTTGTGATCCTTACCATGGCAACCCATGAGCAGCTGGAGACTTGCCGATGCTCTTGATTGAAGGGAAACCTGGGAAGAATCGGTTTTGGAGAAGCCAGCACTTCTATTCTGGCTACAGTGCATCTCTATACACTTGAGCAGAGGTGCCTGGGCGGGCGCAGGGGCGCATCCCAATTAGAGCAGAGAGTGGTGGTTTTTCTTGGGATTTTAGGAGACCAGTGATGCAGGGCAGGATGCAGGGAAGTAGGTGCCCTGCAGGGGAGAAAGGCTCAGCCTTGGCATTCATGTGGGAGTTCACCCTGGGGTGAGGCGCAGCTGCAAAGGCGGGAACCCCTGGGGCGCCCGGGACTTCTAGGGGGCAGAGGTGGGAGCCCCCCTCTCCCAGTGCCAGCCCATCTGTGTGGGAGCCTCATTAGCCCTGCAGGCGGGGAGACTGTTTTTAGAAAGCATCTCTGTGGGGTTCCAAGGAGTTTCCCTGTAAGATTATAACGTTTGTATCGCCTACCATTTTTTTTCAGAAACACTTACATCATGGGTTTATAAACAGTGTGTAACAATTATACAATGTGTGTTCTTTCTCGAATTGTTAGTATTGCTACTTAAAAAAAGAAAGAAAAAAATCTTTCTTCAAATAGTTACTGTACTGCTTAGCTTTGAAATCTTGTATCCAAATGTATCATTAGAATCATTGTAACCAGCATTTTTCTGGGCCTTTCTTAGCCCTTGACTCCCAACTCAGCAGCAAATGGTTCATGTTGGGGAGCTTGAGCAGAAACCTGCAGGGGACTCCGGCATAGGCAGCCCCATGGAGTGACTCCTGTTGGAGAGAGAAGGGGAGGGAAGGGACTGAATTTCATGTCTGGAACTTTCCCTGCTGCGCCTCCCAGTGCTCGCTGTGGGGTAGTGAGAATCTTCCCCAAGAAGCCTTGAGTCTCCGAAACACTCCAGACCAGGGGAGTTCCAGGGTCCGAGGCCGCCACTTGAAGATGGTCTGGGCTCAGGACCCTTACCTTGCTGATACATCCTTCTCCCTTCCTTCTCCTTTCTCCTGATTTCACCGCCTTTTCTTTTGGGGGAACTTGAGGTCCCCAGATGGTGTTCTGGGGGTCACCGAGGCCACTCCTGGGGACACGTAGCCAGCTAGGCCAGCGATCAGTGATAAGACCTGCTAACCCGAGCAGACGGTGCTGCTCAGGCTCTTGAGTAACTCAGGGAAAGGACAGGGGTGCCTCCGGGGCTTCTCCCCACAGTGATGCTTTTACGTTTTGTATTGTCCCCAGTACGTACACAGGCATTACCTGCAGTTGTCTCAGTCCTAATGTTAGTATTGGGGTGTGGGTCTGAGCAGGAGAATAACTTTATGGCATCAAAGCAATTTTGTTTGCTGATACTGATTTTGGATATGGGGGGGTGAGGATGGGAGCACTTCACAGCAGTGCCGGGGGTTCAGCCCAGGGTTCCCACATGTACAGCATATGCTCCAGCTCTTTGAGCTGTCTCCTTGACCTTCAAAGTGTTTTCAGGGTTTTTTTTTTTTTTTTTCGGGGAGGGGGGGTTAGCTGTTTGTTTTGGGTTTTTTTTTTTAAGCCTCCTCACATCACTTGTCTGACAAATATGTAAGTTGTCTCCAGACAGGGTCACAAGCCCTAGGTTTTAATTGCCAGGATCTGAATTTCATGTCTGGAACTCATTCCCAAAGCACCTGACCTTGGGAAATTGTCTCTCTGCCTCCGTTACCTCATCTGTAAAGTGAGGAGTATCATCTCTACTGCTCAGGCCTATTGTCAGAATCAACTGACAGACCAGCAAAGCACTTGGAGCTGTGCCTGGGTGTAAGCACTTAATAAATGTCTGTTGCATCACCATTATTCAGCCTGGGTTTATTGACTGCATGCACCTTGCCAAACCCTGGGCAGTTCAAGGTGCTACAAGTTGAAAGACTGGCCCCGGGAATTGTAGAGGAGAGATCCATGTGTAATTAGATAATAGGTGTTTTAGGACAAATAGCTGTGAAGGACTCTGTCTCTGGTGTGACCTGCGGCCTTAGGAAGAAGAC